ACAAAATTGATATTTAATAAAATAGAAATTATAAAACTATAATTAATATATTTTTATGTAATATAATATTATATATATATTATATATACACATAAATACAAAAGGCACATTAAAAAATGTAAATAACTGCAGGTATATGCAGGATTGTAATTTTCATAATATAATTTTACTCAAGTGTTGTTTAAAAATGTATTTCTTGCATAACTTGTCTGTGGAATATCAACCTAAATCTATCTAAATGAAATAAATAACCATTACATTTGTATCACCTACTTAGTTATAATTTTTTAGTCATTAGTTTACTATACCTATATTATATAGGACGTGTGACGTGTCATATACTTGCATTATAACTATTATAAAAACATAATTTTTTTTTTTTATAACAGTAATTTATACCGTGAACATAGAATTAATTAAGTGTTTTGGGGTTAGTATAAAACACAAATATTAAATGTTGTATACAGTTAGATCACCATAATAGAATATTCACTGGTTTTTTGGCGTTGTTCCCCGTACTTGAGACATTATACGAATATATAGAGTATTATGAGATCATTGCTGTATAGTCCCTAAAAGGGATAAACTTTAATCTCATTCCTGGACCCTCGACCGTCGTTTATACCTGTGATCACAATGTTACCGCAAAACAGCTTCAGGTTTTTTTCCATTAGCTTTAAAAATTTTCCCAATGCTTAAGTAGCATTTTGAAACTCTGGCAATCAATAAGTTCTCAAATTTAGTGATTAGGATTAAAATAAGCACATTATATATGAAATTGTACGTAGGTATTTAAGGCATTTTGATTTAGGATGATTTTAAGTCAATGCAAGCATTTTATAGCCAGCAAATGTTTTTGTTTTCTATATTTCATATATCGTAGTATATTCAAGTTGTGGACAAAGTTTCCTATGAATCGTAGAGTTTATTCTGAATACTAAAATATCAATACTTCTACCAAAATGGGCATTATTGTTTGACCTGAAGATAGTACAAATATAATTTTGCATTCAATTCACATGCAAAATGTTGTCATATGGTAAATGTATATATAAGGAATAATAATAGTGAATAATGTGACCGAAGAGAATGGAATGTCGCCAGAAGGGCGTTCAGATTTTTTTTTCACCAAACAATTTTTTTTTCATTTTCACCAAAATTTTTATTCAGTTAGAGTCCAACTTATAATAAAAGCGTTTCTTTATGATTAGCCCTGAGCGAAGAATTAAAGAAGATAATAAAAACAGATTTAAAGGAGATAAGGTTTATATCAACTTTTTTAAAATTTTTCATTCATTATTTATTTTATTTTCACACCTTTTTGCTTTTTACAAGAATATTTTTTTATATATACATGTACATATAAATATTATTATTATGAATCATAATACAAAATGTCAATCATAGATATAATATATTTACTACATATAACAAATATGGTGATCATTTAAAATACTAGAAGTGCATTGCTTTAGATTATTTCTATTTGATTATCAAGAAAAAAAATTATGTTATATTATAAGGTGCAAAATAGTTTATATATATATTTAATATAAATATTAAATGCATTGATTTATTCTGCATATATTTTATAAATACGGTTAATTTATATTTATCTAACACAAATCAATTCAAAAATCTTAAACAATTTATTGTACTAATCAGTAATCGCTTATTAAATGTAATCATGAAAAATGACAATCTTCTAGATTAATATTTATGACAGCCGCATATATATGTTATGGTAAAAGTATGAACACCGGTGAAATCTAGGATTTGCTGGTAAAACCTAGAATAAACTATACAGTTTGACCATTAATAATATAAACGTGTGTAATTAATTAATAATACTAGTAATAGCTAATGTACGTAGTACTTTAGTGTTCAAATAATAATAATTATTATTTTTGAGTCAATGCATAATATTGAAATTAATATAAGAGAATAAATCAAGGGAAAAAATATCACACAACTAATAAACAATTTGGAAATTCACCAACACTGGTTATTTATCCTAAAATTTTTCAAACATAATTTATACAAATTAGAAATAAAAACTACAAAAATCATTTGGGATTTGACCAAACTATTTTATGTACTCTAGGTTTTATCGGTATTCGTACTTTTACTGTAACATATATTATGTATTCATCGAGTGTCAAATAACAATTAGAATAAATTAAACATATTTACAGAACTGACTGAAATTGAAAAATATAAAGATTTCAGAATAGTTAGAATAATGAAGAAATATTATACGACTTGTATCTTGATGCAATATATTTATTACTTTCAGCCGTCAGCCAAGTACAGTAGTAATTTTTTTTTGTAATTCTCTTTGAATATTTTTATTAAATTTCGAATTTCAGTTAGGACACATTGATTTTTGTTCTACATAACTACATCTTTAAAATATTTAAATATGGTTATATTTATTTATTTTAGATTGGGGAAATTTAAGTCAATAAAATACGAGGGTACACTAAAAAGTAATGTACATATACTTGTCGAATGCAAACAAAGACAAATAACAAGATCAGGTAGAAAGAATATTAAAGTATAACGCTTAAGGTTAAAAATCATATATTTATTTTTCAAAGTATAACAAATTTCTCACAACGTGTAACAAGTTTTTTTATCCTGTTACTAAAAAATTCTTTCGACTTCTCTCAAACCTAAGATGTGATAACTGACTTTTTCATTTATCAAGATATTATGATTAACATTGAGTAAATAAAATATAAAAATAGCAAGGTGCAATCGGGGGGGGGGGGGGGGAGTAAAGAAAGTGTGGAGTCTATTCCAACTTCAGGTTTTGTAGAAATTTAGGCTACGGTGAGATTTGTGGATGTACGTTATCAATGTTATCATATTTCAAGATAATTGGCGTCAGACTATCTCTAATCCAATAACTCGACGTCAAAGGTGTTTTAGAATCTCCATGTATTTAAAAAAAATTACCGTTAACCCTCACTCTATATAATCAGTCACATAAACTTGGTATGCATTCCAAAACACAGTCAAAATGAGTTTTTTTGCGGATAGTTGTAGTTTGAATACAATTTATCAATTTAATATAGACTTATAAATAATATTTTCACCATGAAGATCCTCTAAATAATGATGAATTTCAACATTTTCAACAGTTGAAAATTTTGATAACAGTGCGTTGCTTAATTTGTTGACATTCTGTTCTTTTTTTTACAAAAACGTGTTCATTAATTTTCAGCTTACCCTCGTAAATTATTATTAATAAAATAAAATGTTGGCTAATTTCAAGCATAAATTAAACTCTGTTCTAGTAATCTAACCACGATTGTCTAGATTTAGATAACTATGACCCCCCTCCAAGTATTATTATTTTATATTAAGTTAAAAATCTATTAAAATTGTTTTGTGGTAATTCAAGAATAAAATAAGAATCATAGGTATTTTAATTTTCAATATGTTGTTAAAAAATATTTTGTTTGATAAAAATTGTATGAAATGTAATACAAGGGTTTTTATAAGTTGTTAATTTACTAATAAAAAATATACATAATCACAAACTTATTTTATTAACCTAAAAATAATAACTTTAATAATATTCATAAAATCTCAAATATTTGAAAATTATTTTATAGTTAAAACTTATGAAAATTATTTTTTTATTCAAAGATTTAAAAATTTAATACAACACTTAAAATTTTGATAAGTTTTTCTTGTTATTACAAAAAAAGAATAAAGAAGGTTTACCGGGAAGTTACATTCATTTTTTATGAGCTTTTGGAATCAAATTTTTATTTATTTGGATATTTGTCCGTAAAATAACTATTTTTCTTTATACTGTTTCTGATATTTTGTTGTAATTAAAAACAAATGTCCATAGACTTTTTAAATTTTCACAAAATGTTCAAACTATTTTCTTTTTATAAACATCTAAAGTATTTTGACTTTTTTTGAATTAAATAACTTATAAAATTATAAACTATGAGTATAAGCATGACTTATTTTCAGTTTTTTTAAGTTTTCAATTATTGTTACAACATTTTTTTATTAAGAGTCTGAAAATTTAGTACAAGGTTTCATGTAAGTTTTTATTATAGTTATTTGAAAATATTAAAAATATATCGACATAAAAAATAAATAAAATTATCCTATCGTAATAATAATAAGTAATAGTAAAATAAATAACTTTATTAGCGATAAAAAAAACTTATCGTGAAATGTACACAGTGATATAAGCTTATGGACCGTTTTCGTTCAGAATCGTTTTTCGAATACAATGATATTTTATTGAATTCAAATTGAACATATCAATTATAGTAATTCGTTTAATAACTATTGTACAGTAGAGTGATACTTACTGGCTCGATTTTTTATTTGTTGAATACCTCTGACTAAATTATTATAGTTAATAATAATTTTGGTTTATTAATGTATTTTTATTACTGTAGTAAATTCATATCTGTACAATTGCAGTATTAGTATATATTTTCTAATTTAGATATTTTATATTTCTATTTGTTTAAGTAATGTATTATATTATTTGTTCAATATTTATAAAATAAATAAAATATTTAATTGTTAAAACCACATTTTAAAGTATAAAGTTTTTGGAACGTCTAAAGCTTGGTATAATTTGTTATGAACTGAAATAATTAAGCGTGGAACTTTACTCCCTGGATAGTCGTTTGGTTAAAGAGAAACTCGTTTTTATAAACATATTTTTTCGTATAATAATAGGTAAGGAAGTTTTTATTGCTGTAGAAAAGATGTTTGTAAAACCATTCTTGAAATTATACTCTAAAAATGATAGCAGTACCTAATTTTAATGTACAAGATTCAAGATTACTTAAATATAACATTTTTATTCTCTTAAAGTACCATTACTATTATATTTTAGTCTCAACACCTTTATTATAACGCGTATGTAAACATACATAAATTACCTAATTATAATTTACATTCCTTAATACAATGTTTGTTCTAATAAGTACGCATATATTAGTGTTAACTACCTGCATGAATCCTCCTTGACAATATGTTCCATTGACTAATACTCCAAATTTAAATTTTTTAAATCTAATTCGAAGAATATAGTCCTTGGGAATTCCTTTAAATGAACGAAATCTGTACGAACAAAAAAGTGGTTTGCCAAAATTCGATGATGTTACTTCTGGACTAGTAATATCTTCATAGATATCAACAGTCTTATTGCAATGGTCTATTCTACCTGAAAAATAAACAACAAATTATTATGATAGTTTAATATTAATAAAGTTTATTGATTTATAGTTAGTTTTTAGACAAGTTTTTTTGAAAAAATTTCTTGTGTGTAACATTTTACCATATGTTTAGAGTAAGGTTCATTCAAATAATAAATAGAACATGAAACAAATACTTATGAGCAGGTTCTAAACTAGGTACTTTAGAAGAAACTAAATATGAATGCGATGTCTCTGTCTTATAAACGTATTATATAGAACATATTACGTTCTAAATGATCCATTTAATTTTGGTATATTTAATATTAAGTTGAATTAACTTACTATAAAAAAATATTATCTAGTGGATTTTTATAGGTTTTCTTGGTATTTTAATTATAAAGCGAGTTATGAGCGTTTTAAAAATATAATTCGTATGTAGAAAATATTTTGTATATATAATTAAAACATATTTTGGATAATAAGTTTTCGTAAAAATATTTATAACTATATTGTCGTTTGTTAATTTATTGGATTAAAATGAAAAATAATTTACTCAAAAAATTGTCTTTTACAGATTTATATCTGTAAAACTTTACTGTAAAGTGTTAAAATATAAAAAGGGTACACAATTTGCATTAATTTATTCTAAAGATGTGAGATTTTTGAGAATGATTAATAGATGGTGAATCGCCCCTAATAAATTAATCATTTGCTGACTCAATTTAAATCAACTAAGCTTTGTTTAGCATTTATTATATGTTAAAACTTAAAAATTTAAACCTGTAACAAATAAAAACAATTTATCTTTGTAATTATATACTTATATATACTTGTATTTGTATATATTGTTACACAAATTATTTTTATAGTTTCTACTTTAATTTATTTTTTAAATACATCAAGATATTTAATTAATATCTTTTTTTAATTAACCTAATTGTAAAGCGTTTTTAATTTTCAAAATGTGGTAGGTAAATGTTGTTACTGCTTTGTTGATGTAAAATGTTACTGCTTTGTTACTGCTTTGTTGTGGTTTGTAAATGTTGTTACTGCTCTGCTGTACATTAAGTGTCAAGTGAATCACTGTAATGTGTGTGTTAAATTTGAATTTAATGATATATCGTTGTATATGAAAAAAAGGTTTAAATAGAGATAATTTATTAATTTAAATCACTAATTTTATTTCATGATACGTTTTTATACATATAATAGCTGTTAAATAATGTTTTTTAATTTTGGTATTATGCTACCATAATACTAAAATTAAAATTGATAAAATTGATTAAGGAAAGCACTGGACATTTTTTACTCTTGACCCACTCAAGTTATTTTTATTTAAATAACAAACAAAATATATGGATTATTAACTACAATAATTATTAAACAATTCTTTTTTATTCTTAAAACTTATAAACACATTTTTTGTCTACCTCTAGTTATGTTTAAATATGCATTTAATACAATAGGTAAAATGAAAACTGTTGATGAGTTTGTTATTTTAAATACAAATTAAAAAACAAAGATAATAAATTAACTTTGTTTTTAAAGAATACTAATTATGAACTAGAGCTTTCATTGTATAATTTTGTAAATAATTAACTGTAACTACATATTTTCTCAAAGCATATAATCTTAGTTACAAATAGGTATCATAATTTGTTATACATTTTATTTTAATGAAAAACTTTAATTATATGTACAAAAACATGTAAGTTAAAATGTAGGAATATTTTTGTTAAAAAAATATTCAATATGTCATTACACTAAAATTTTAAATGTAAATGCAAAAACATCATTATTTTATAATCTAAAATACTCAGTATAATAAATGAAGTGTAAGATTTTTTTTTTTTTTTTTATGTATTGATTATTGTTTGTGTAAATATTTTGTTCGAAAATATTAATTATTACACACATTATAGTTAAAAACTTAAAAATATTAAAATATTAAATAATATTTTTATTGAAGTATAATTCAAAATTTAATTTTAAAATTACAAAATATTTTAAGTGTTCTGTTTAAATAACATTTAAAATCCTTAAAACTGTACAAAACATGTACAACTAAATATATTTTGTGTATAAATCTAATCGAATTAGGTACTGCGTGTAAATTATATAAATTATTATTATTTTTATTCGTATTATAATATATACCAGATACCTACTGACAATGAACCGTAATAATTGTTTTAATAAATTAATAATTTATACCAGGGTTTACGTTTGAAAAAAAATTTTGTTTATCGTTATTTAGAATTTAAACGTTATTCTACTTTTGCGTTTTTCGTTATTTAGAATTAAAATTTTAATATATTTTATAAATTATAACTATTAAATAATTGGAAATTAATTATTTAATTTAATGATATACTATAATTAACGTTTGGCATTATGTTTTGTTTTATGATATATCATATATTTTGTTAATTGTTATGTTTTGTTTTGTGTTATTAAACTATTTATGTTTATCGTTTTCCGTTATAATTACGTTACAAATCTCAATGTTTTTTGTAAAATTTATCGTTATAATCATAACGTTATTATAAAGTTTACAAGCCCTGATTTATATACATGTATAATACATATATTTTATAGACATCAATTTAATTCCATATCACATAATATTATACGGTTGATATTATATTAATTTAAAAATGTGTATCTATATTTTGTGTACAGAATTGTACTATACTGTTTTATTTACAGATTGATTCGCTAAGCATGCCCATTCATTTTTTTCAGTAATGCAATACATCAAAATCTGATTTTTGATTTTTTAGTTTAATATAAAATTATATTTTCAAATGCTCTAGATTTTTGTATTATTTGATGAGTGTTTTATGAAGATTCAAATTTCTATTTTTCAAATGACAACCCTTATTTTCTACTGTGAATTATTTAGTGAATAATTTTTGTGAAAATATTTATGTATTAAATAAAATTTAAAATAGTAATTTTTAAATTATTTAACTTTGTATACGAAAGATAATTTATTTATTTATACAGGGAGTTTTTAAAATTGATTTGGTCACTTGTAAGTAATGTGTACTTATTATGATAGCCAAATGAAGATTTTTTTTTGGATTTTTTTTTCTATCTTAAAAATCTGGGTTTTTAGAATATTATCTTAAATATAAAAATAAAAACTCCAATTGTTTTTTTTTTCTGCAAAATTTTCATATGATCGAGATGTCACATCATTTTTACGCTTGTTGCACGTTTTCACGTTCAAATCACCGACAAAAAAAAAAGTTGTGTGACACGTCGATTTATATGAAAATACTGCAACATAAATACTGGTGGTAGTTATTTGTTGTCATTAAACATACATGATTAATTATCACATTGTTTTAAATTGTCAACTAATTACAATAATGAAATAATAACAAACTTAGGGTGAATAGAACCTTAAATGATCACATTTATTATAATATAGTCATTTTTATCAGTAATATCATAATTCATAAGTTAGAAAAAAACTAACTATTTGTGTATTTAATACAGAAATTTCAGTTTTTGGGTATCACAGTTGCATAATTATTTTTATTCTATATGATAAACATTCTATTTTGTATTTATTATTAGTGTGCCTAATATTATAGGTACTTTTGATGAGAATTAATAATCTAGCTGATATCGTTCGTCAAATAAACTTGGAGTTTATAACATCGTGGTATGAAAAAGTGTATCAAAGTTAATAGAGGTCACATTGAAAAACTTGTGTAGATAAAAATTGATTTTCAAAATAAAGTGTATTTAATTTGATTACTTTATAACCTAAAATATTGTGTTAATTAATCATATATGTTAAATTATAACAAATAAATACCACCGTTTATCTTGTAGTGTTCTAATACAAATCGACGTGTCACACCATTTTTTTATTTTAGTCGGCGATTCGAGCGTGAAAATTGCGTGACAAACGCAAAAACGATATGACGTCTTGATTCGTATGAAAATTTTGCAAAAAAATAACTAGAATGTTTATTTTTATCTTTATAATAATATTCCAAAAATAATTTTGAAAAAAACCCAGATTTTAAAGATAGAAAAAAAATTTCAAAACATTTTTCAATGGATTACAACAGCGAGTACACATATTATATAGTTGCAAGATCATTCATTTCAGAAATACTTGGTAATTGATCAATGATAATTGATTTAGCTAATATGAGATCTTTGGTGATTTGGATATTTTATTAGGTAGGTAATTTATATTAATCTATCAATATTTATATTTATTAAAATTATCTAAATATTATAAATAATAGATTAGATTTTACATTTAATTTATAATTTTTTTAAACCATTATTAAGGTTTATTATCTTTAATACAAAACTTTCCTTTTAACAACTAAAAAATTATTCTGACTAGTTTTTTATTAGGTAAGTCAATATTTAAAAAAAATTGATGGGTAGCCATTAAATAATTTACAAAAGAAAAGAGAGGTTTTTATTAAAAAAAAAAAAAAAAAGCATAAGTTTATATCTACATAATATAACATTCTTCAAATCATAAAAAAATTTCAAAGATTTGAAAATATGGTCTAAATTTATTTTAAAATATAATTTTTGCAAGGGAATTTTGCAAAAAAAAATGGACTTGATAAATCTACGGATATATTATATGCGCCATAAACATTTCAAGAAAAAAAAAATAAAATTTGGGCCATTTCTAAAAACTAATTTTGGTAATTGCTACATAAAACTAGATAAAAGAGTATTGTGTAATTTGCACTATCTTGTACTAAAAAAATTGAGGACCTTAAAAATTGGGGATATCGAATAGAAAAACGTTGCTAATATATAGAAAAGCACGGAGAGAGATTGTAGAAGTGACAATGGGCCCGAATGGCTGACATAATAGACTCAAAAATTTCCAAAAATCAAAATAAATAAAATCATTATTAAATGAAAAATTGGGAATGAGTATGCTTGATGAATCATCCTGTTTGTACAAAATACAAACATAATAATATGCAATATCATTATTTATATGTATATTATGTACACAATTCACGTA